TGGTGAACATGATGTAATCTATGCAGAAATAGAAGTATAATGATGTACACCTGAAATTTATACAATGTTATAAACCAATGTTACTGCAATAAACAAAATATTTTAAAAAAGAAAGAAGATTTCTCTACTCTAAATTCTTGCCTCAGGATAGCAATCAAGTTAAAGTTGGCCTTAGTTTTTGAAGCAGCCCTGAACACAGAGCCCGCAGCATTCTGGGAGGAGGGGCCGGAACAGCACGGGCCGGCAGAAACCACAGGCACAACTCACTGGGGTTGCGCTTCACACCATCAAGTGACAGTCAGCACCAGGAAGCTCCGACCCGCTGTCACGACACGTTTATCTTTACAAAAAAAGAAAACGTGCAAAGAGAGTAAAAAGATGAACTACAGGCCAAATATTTATGACCAATGTAGAAATCTAAGCAACACCCTGGAGGCACCGTGTGGTTTTATTGGCACTTGTTTTGAAAAGCACGTCTTGCCTGTGACCCAAGTGGCAATCGTTTCAATTTTGGTTTACTTCTCAGCTCTGAGAGCTAACTTCTGGTTATGTTTGTGCTGCTGAGAAAACAAAACATAATCCCAACACATTTTCTCAGGAACCCTTTTATTTCTCTTATTTTTGAGAAAATTTGACTCTACTGAACCTTGAATGAAAACTTCAAATCAATATGCAGATTCACACAGGCACCATTATTTTACAGATGGAAGAGTGAGGGCTCAGGTATCCTACTTCAGTGACAGATAGATGACAGAAGTGGTGAGACTCCCAGCACGGCAGAACAGGGCCCAGACCTCCTGAGCTCAGCCCGGGTGTAACAAGAAAGTAGCCACATCCCCGAAAACGAGTCGGAGCCCACCACTTACAGTGAGACTCCTTCCCACGAGAGCTCATCGGGTTCCACTCTGGTACCAGAAGTGGGCCTGGGGACCGTGACTGGGCTCCTTCAAGGATGCTCTGCAGTTGATACAGGGGAAGCCGCCTTTCTGAGGGGTGAGCTTTCTGCTGGCTGGAATCCACATCTTCACAGTGGAACAATGCTGACGTCCCAGGTCAGCACGCCAGCACTCAACGAACTCGGCCATTTAAGGAGGAGACCAAGTGTGAGCAGAGTGTCCACCGGCGAACGATGCCTGATTTCTTAGGGAGCCGACGACTCACTAGAAGCAGGCTCCCCCCACCTCAGACCTACGGGTGGTTTGAAGGGAGGGTTACTCAGCCCACAGGGACTGGCTGAGTGGCTGGAGGGTCCGACGGCTGACTGTCCTCTTGTTCAACAGCACCGTGTGGGACTTCCTGTCCCTGGGGGTGTGGCAGAGCAGAGCATCCAAAGTGTAAGTGGTGACCTGGCCATTTATGTGCAGTTTCCCATAGAGCTCGTCAAATCTAGCCAGGAGGGTGGGCACATCCTTCACTTTTTCTCTCACTTTGGCCAGCTGGAAAAAAGCAGGAAGAGCAGATCACTATCTCTCTGCAAGATTTCTTCCTTATTCTTTCCACCCTCCTAGAAGCAGACACAAATGTGTAAAAACCAACAGTGTACGCGTGAAGTGTGAAAACTGGGTCCCGGGCACACAGAGATACAGCCCACTGTAAGGCATTCCACAAGCTGCACACAACGTTCAGAATTAGCACTTGAAAATCACACCAAATGTCTTATAAAAGGGGGTTCAAATGGCTAGTACTTCACAACGAAACACACCAGGGGAAGGAGGTCACGTAGCAGTGGAACCAGGTGTGTCCACTTTAACCATCAGAGAGGAGGCAGGGCAGTTACTCAGGGCTCTACAGCACATGGGGAGCTTTATTCTAAAGCCATCAGAAGGTCCAAAGGGGGACGTGCTCTGGTGTAGGTTTAAAAAGCCGTGTGGAGAACTGGAGGGTACAAGAATGCGGAGACTAATCCGAGGTCCCATCGTAGCCCAGGTGAGAGAGGATGATGGTTTAAATTGGGAAATGTGTAGAGAAGATGGAGAAGTAGATGCACAAGAAGTGTATTCTGGAGATTAACTGTCAGGATTTACCGCTGAAGGGATGAAGGAAAGGGGGGAATCGAAGACATCGTCCCAATTTGGGCTTTAGCAACGTGGTGACGGGGGATGTCATTGACTGAGACAGGGAAGATGGAGGACCAGATCTGGAGAGGGAAAATCAAGAGTTCTGATCTGGACATGATCGAGATGCCTGTGAAACATCTAAGTGGGTATGGCGAGACATTGTTGGATATACAGGTATGAGGCATGGAAGACAGGTCCAGACCAGAGGTGTAAATATTAGAGTCACAAGTGTGTGAATGGTATTTAATTCTACAAAAACGGGTGAGCTCAAAATTAGAATGTGAAGCTATTTTCTGAACAAAAGCAACATTTTACTTAATTCAATCTTCATTAACAATACAACCTAACAACATTTCGCCATAAAATTTAATTGTGATCAAGGTCCCTAACAAACCCTCTGGTCATCTTCTGAATACGTCATAATCCTATCTGCTACCCGCACACCTTCCTTTCAAACAAGGGCTCCCCACTGAACCTTCAGATAAGAAGTTTAAGCAGTTCTTCATGTTCTTAAAAAGAGTAGCTTGTGTAGTCCTCCTGATCAAGGGAAGTGGCTTCCTGTGCAGCACATGGCTTCCAAACAAAGCAAAGCAGATACGCCAAGCTGGAGGCAACTCGGCTCTAACTGCACACATACTGCATCAGTTCTCCTACAGCATCACAAAAATACTAAGTGGTGTCATTAGGACCACTCTACAACTTAAGCAGAAAAGAGATTACACTAACGCTGTTCATTTAGTTTTAAAAAAAGCACTCAACCAGAAACAGCTGATGTTTGAGCAGCTGCAGCCATAGCATTGCAGAGGATCTGCAGTTCTTTTCAGCATTCCTCGGTGGTAGAACAGCACCTGATCTCCACACAGAAGACATTTAAATGACTCTTGGTATCAACTCTAAATAGAGCATCTGTAAAATGCAGAGTTTTACAAATAGGACAGCATACGCAACCTCACAAACACATTTAGAACCAGCTCCAAAGCTCCTGCAGTCGTATCAATCACTTCATTTCTCAACAAGCAGCGTCCTGGGTGGTCTCACAACAACCAGGGGAACACATCGCCTGGACGTGGAGCTTTCTAGGTACCTCAGCCTTGCAGGCTTTGGGGAAATCAGATAAAAGCAGTATCTTCAAGGTGGAGTGTGTGTGGATGCTGCAGTCAGACAAGTGGGACAACGTACCAATGGACCAGGCCTAAGGAAGGACTGAGGAACACCCGTGCTACGGGAGCCGTGTCAGTGCTGCACGCACACGCACACACACGACTGTGCACTTACAACTGCATGCACACACACGCAAGTGTACGCTTAGCATTGCACATGCACACAAGTGTGTGCTTAGTACTGCACGCACACATGACTGTGCACTTATCACTACACTCACACTCAAGTGTACACTGAGCACTGCACACACACGTGAGTGTGCACTTTAAAACCTATCCACATTTCCAGTTCCCCTAAACATGCTCCAAAAGGGTAGGTCACAACCTATACAGAACTAAGACCTCAAACAGAAAGATTTAAATTTATCAACATCCAGTGAGGTTCCCGACAACTCCCTTTATTAGCAGGAAGGAGCCGTTAGCGGAAGTGAGGAAATGGGACAGGGCTGGGAAGGTAGCATGTGGCAGAGGGGAGAAAGCAGCTCTCTGCCTCTACTGCCAACCCTGCCATCTCAGACACCAGCCAGGCCAGCACTACACAAGGCAAGGGAGGGCGGAGGAAACCCTGCGTTAGTCAAAATGATACTACCCGTGCCACGACTAGTGATCACTGACAATAACTTACGATTTCTTTACAGTTCTTTTTCCCCTTAGGTTATAAACTACGAGAGATGTACAAATTACTAAATTTCAAATGACTTACAATAACTCCTCTTTGTGTGCTTAAGCCATCAGTGTGACACACGGGTTCATTCGTCTCATTATGCTTTCAATTTTTAGAAACTGCTTCTTTCTCTTCATTTTCATTTGACTTTGTTTTATAACTTTGCAACGCATTTATGTGGCTCCATTAGTTGGTCTATTCAGGAGCTAAAACCACAGCTCTAATGATAGCAGCTTTAACTCGGTGGACGTCTGGCCGGGCTAGCACCTCTTCCTGTTCTTGCACAGCCTTCTCCCAGCTACTCTTGCTGGTTCGCTCTTCCTACCAAGGCTTAGCTACAGAAGAAACCTCGTGGAATTCTTACTGGGATGTTACATTATCACACCAACTTGGGGAGAACTGACTCTATGAGGCTGAGTCTTCCTATCTAAGCTCTCGGTGTGTCCTTTTGTTTGCTTAAGTAGGGAGATTTTTTTTTAAGATGAGAGATACTGTAGCTTGTTAGCTGATGGAATGATCCACAGGGAAGGGGGTATTGATGATGCTCAAGAGACGGGAGACAAGTTCTGGACTGCAGCCCTGGCGGGGGTCAGTGGGGACGGGCTTCAGGGCACCACTGGGGAGCTGGCTCAAGAGAGGAGTGTGCACAGTCAAGTGGCTTTGGGAGGGAGGGCTGAGCAGACAGGAGAGGAGCAAGGAGGCTGTCCATGTTCTGATGCCTCTACTTCCTCTGTGAAAAAGGAAGGCAGGTCATCAACTGAGAGTGAGGAGTAGGGAGAGGGTACTGGGGGCTGGAGGAGAAAGGAAAAAGAAGAAAAAGAGAGTCAGGACCCATGAAAACTGTGGGGAAACGAACAACACAAAAAGAAAAAGTTTGCCTACAATTTCGGAGGATATACTATGTTGGTAGAAAAAAATCTTTGCACCCACATGAAAGTCTTACAGCAGGAACAACAGAGAGGCTGCACATCTGACAGTCTCTTCAAGGAGGTGGCCTCCAGGAGTGAGATGTTAAGTGGACACTGTGAAGAATGGCCTTTCCTCTTTGGATGATTTCTGCAGAAATCTCCTACTCACCACTTCTTCTGAGAACTCGTGTCTTTTGACAAATCTTGATAAGCTTCCCTCTGTAGCATCCTTTAGTATCTCTATCAGGGGTGTCAACATATTCGACTGGACGTGGATCATGATCTGAATAAAAAGAATAAGCAAGAACAAGACTGAGCCGGCAGTCAACACTGAGGAACGTGCCGACACCTACAGGCACCCACCTGCTTTCGTCTATTTCCTAACTCATCTGCTTGCACAAGTTCAGAAAGTGCTTTGAATGGATGTCCACCAGCCAAAACTTGTCTTCCAACAGCTAATCAAAATATTGCAACTTCAAAACCTCCTCAAGGGCAGACAGGGAGAACACGGGTTTGGAGTCCGCAGACCTGGGCTGCAACCCTCGTGCTGGCAGTTACTGCTCGGTGTCTCTGGCCAGGTACTTAATCTTAACCTCTCTCTCAGTTTATTTGTAAAGTGAGGAAAATACCTCTACACCTCACATTTTGAGTTACTGTGAACATTAAATAAAACGCCAGCACCCAAGAGGTCCTCGGTGAACACCGCTATCAGTTTCGTCCTCCCTGTGCCTCTGGATGCAGAGGAGACAATCTCATAAGACTGGCTCTGGGGCAAATGACACCTTTACCTGATTGCTTTATTGTTTTGGTTAGGAAATTGTAAGCACATAGGTTGTCACAGGTATAAAGTGGACGGTATAAAGCCTTAATGAGGCACTTGTGTTTACACCACAGCTATTGGGGAATTTTTAAAACTGGGTACCGTACTTGGCTTTCAGAATGATACCACTAACTACCTTGCACCAGACAGACGCAATCAACACGAGGGAAAAGAACACATTTTCCCCCTCATTACCAATGTTTACTAGTACAATTTGAAAAATACAGAAAAGTTTAAAGAAAATGAGAATCAAAATTCACCAATGTTAGCCATTGTTTATAATTTCATTATTATCTTCCAAATATATTAATTTTCCCCCAAATTTGATTCCACTTTTTCTCAATTATTATACAATGAACATTTTCTCATAGCATTAAGAAATTTTAGAAAAAAAGAAAACCTCATTTTTAACGATGAATGCATAGCAATCCATCATATAAATAAGCACCGAATGAAGCAACACCACACTTGATTATATCAGCACATGTGCATACATTTTTTTAAATTGCTAATTTCTTAGACTTGATTCTCAGAAGCGGAATTACAAAGTCAAAGGGTATGAACATTTTCAAGGCTCTCAATCCTTAGGAAAGGTAGTCTTTCTGGAGGAGATATTCCTTTTTTATACCAAACCAGCTAAGTTCTCTCAACAGTCCATTTTATAACACTTTATGTTCACTGAGCAGTTGATGAGGATGAGGGGTTACCTTTGGTCCTGAAGAACAGAATGCAATGATCCCGAGCAGACTAAACCCAAAGGGCCCGACCTAGTTCAGTGTAGTGAAGCACAGGCAGTCATGAGAATGCTCTGTGCTGCAGACAACCCTGCACGGACTCTCCTGTTCAAGCAGAAGTGCTGACTGCCCTTACGCCAGACTCCCTTTTCAAGGATGGCTGTATAGCCACCAGCCTGGGAAGACAGACAGTGTCTCACCCAGAGCAAAGGGCAGCCACGCTTACTGCCCGTTATAAGAGATTTGGGTCCCCAACGTCAAGTTTCCTCCCTTAAGATACGACCCCCTGTGTGTGCAACCGGCGTACAGCCCTCTTCATGGTGCCCTGCAGGAACTGGGCTCAAGAAACGGACGCAAAGATGCTAATACTCTGGCTACTACTCTTGCTGTGAGTAATAAACTGTCTGCTTCATCTCTCAGTGTCTTGTGCACTCCACCAGCATCCGTGAAACTGTGGCAGGTCGACTCGTTAGCTTGGAAGTAGGGCAAAATCTCTGACTCTTACATAGTTCTTAACACTCTTGTTAATAATAACCAATCCCCATTTCATTGGCAGTGGTCTGTCCTATTGACCACTACATTGTGGTCATCTTGAATGCTACATCTGCAGTGCCTGGCAGCTAGCAGACCCTCATCGATAATGAATGAGAAGAGGGGCGTAGGTCTCCTGGCAATTACAAGGATAAACTTCCTGGAGCCCCATGCTAGAAACTATTAATGAGGTACTCCTGGAGATTTCAACTCTTCTTCACCAGTTTTCCCAATTTCCCTCCCTGCCTCCAGCAACTATCCCTGATTCAGCAGGGATTCTGAGAGTACGGTTCAATACTTGAAATATACTGATGAAGGGCAATAGAGACGAGGGCAGTTACTGATGAAAGGCAAAGAGAAAATTTAAAGCTAGGAGCTTATCTCAAACCCAAGTCTCAGTGCAGTTAAGGAAAGCTACATCGGTACAGCACATTGCTTTAATCTTAAAGATTTCAAGCACAAGGCTAGGAAAATTGAATTAGCAAGGAGCAGGAGGAATTGGGGTAAGAAAAACTACTCAAAGAACACATACTTCCTGCCCCTCTGATTTTCCGAGACCTCAGGAAATGTTGACAAGTCATTGGATACCTTTGACGGAAAAAGGGAACAGAAGCCCTGAACATGCAGAATTTGCATTTCTTTTTTCTTTTCTTTTGAAGTTTGCTATATTTGAAGCAGGACATCACAGTGTGGTAGAGACTGCTAGTTTATGAACCAATATCCATTCTCCCCTCCTGTTTTCATGACAGAACTCCCCAACTTGAACTGATGCTGTCACGTATGAAACTCAAAGAAAAAAACCCTGTATTTCTCAGGTTTCTGTGCAACTAGGTGTGGTCATGGGATTAAATTCTGGTCAATAACAAGCAGAAGTTGTTGGGTGAGGCAACTGGGAAAGCATCCTTAAAAGAGACCAACTTCTTTGTCCTCCATTCTTCCTACTTCTTGCCAGAATAGAGAGGTAATGGATGGAAGTCACATGCTTAGGATGATGGTGTGGAAATACAGAAAGAGGCTGGGTCCCTGATGATGTCATAGAATGTCACATCAGACCTAGACTGACCATCTCTGGTTTTCTACATGGAAGGAAAAGAAAGCTTCTCATTTGGAGGGACTCTTGTTTTTTATGGAGTCTATGTTGCCCCCAGCCAAATACAATTCTTAACTTATACATATCAGTGAGATGCTGCTACAAAGAGATTTATGAGAAATGAGTCCTGTCTCCTTTCCTACCTGTGCAGCCTAGGAGACTTCCTAGCATGAGCTAGAACTTTAGGGTGATTTTAGTGAGTAGGAGAAAGGGGCATTAAAACACTCACCCGTGTAAAAAAATAAACGATAAAAGCAGCAAAATAAACTACTTGTCAACTTCTCTGCAAAGTGATTCAATTTCAAAATGGGTCTCCATTTGGAGACACGCCAGATTTCTAGAGAAAGGATTAGAATCCAAATAGAATCAGTGAAAAGTTACCCCATATTGGTCTCTGCTACTTTCAGAAATATTTGGAAGTGGAAATTAATCCTTTGATATTGAGCAGCATTGCTTAAGAGGGGGCTATATTTCTTTTGCGATTGATGGGTTTAAATTCAGACTGAAAGGGCAGAGCCAATACCCATGGGCCTCGATGAGATCATCTGCTAAGTCAGTGCCGTGTTAGCAAGTGTTAGCTGGGTAAACGGTAAACCTGGCCCTCTGGGTCATATTGGCAGCAGGAGCAATTTTGATGAAAATAAAATTAAGTTGAGGGGGAAGATTAGGTAAGTCCAAATTCTAATTGGCAGCAGGAAAAGATTTTAGTATAAGGCATTAATTTTTAAAGTAGATCAGAAAAAAAACTTCATTTATTTCTGGTAATACTGACTGAGCAGACTCACTACTCAGCCTATCTGGCAGGGTTCCATTTCTTAATAATTAACAAACTGCCCTTTAGGATTCCAAGTAGATGACTCAGCCTTAGGGAAGCCAGGGCCCATTAAATTATTTTTCAAAACCCTGCTCTAATAACAGAGACCTAGAATCTGAAAGATTATTAAACCTGAGAACGGCAACCATCTCTTTTTCAATATCCCTGAGGAAGATGAAACAGGCCTACATTGAAATATGAGAAATTTAGATGGGATATTTGGAAGAATTTCCTGAGGTAGAATTTTTAAACAATTAAACCATCTTTAAATTTCCGGACCATGGATAACTCTGTGACCCAATTCATGGAGGGGATGATTCATGCTCAAGATCAATTCAAGGTTCCTTCCACAGTGCTTGCCCAAAACATGCCACTCCCCACCTTTCCAGTGCTCCAGAAAAGGAGCGTCCCTGCTGCCCGGGCTCCAGAGCACGGCCCTCACGTCCTGCACCTCCCCTCCCACTGGGAGTAGACAGCTTTACTCTCAGAGGCTCACGTTTGATGTCCAACCAAGCACTTTCTCATTTGAAAAGAAAAATCACTACTAGATTCTCATCACAAACGTGAGAGACAGGCAAGGACTGAAACAGACAAGAGTCTAAATTCAAGGACATGGAATGTGTGCACCAAAGCAGATGCGTTTTTTCACATCCAGTCCTATGTTCTCCTCACCATTCTGGAGCAGCAAGGCCCGATCCTGGCTAAGAGAGACACAACTCTTAACTCTGTAGGTCTGGAGTGGTGGGGAAACCCTAGGCTGTGTAGCCAAACAGATTTGTTTGTGTTAAAACCCTGACCCTGCTATTGAATTAGCTGTGGGAACTTGGGTAATTTACTTACCCTCTGAATCTTCATTTTCCACGTGTATAATCTGGAGAAACACTGTTCTTACAGTGTTGTATAAAATGAACCAATGAATGTAAAGTACCTAGCATGGTACCTTAGCTAAATTAAATTAAAACCCTGCCCATCTCACTCTCTTCAATTTCTCACCACAATCCTTATTGATCCCTGCCCCCAGCAAGCTCACTCCAACTCGAGGAAAAGCTACTAACGATCCACATAAAAATCCTCTCACGACAGCCTCCTGTATTTCCTTCCTTCCTGATGCTATGAACCAGCTGGACCCCACCAATTCTACTCTGTCCCATCATGAATGAATGCATCAGAGGCCATTCTCTCTCAGAAGTGGTTATATGCTTCGACACCCAGAGCTGTCCATATCCAGCAGGAAGCAGAGAAGAAGAAAAAACACACATGGTGCCTGCTGGAAGCCCAGGCTTCCTAGTCTGTTGGGCTTACTGGTGTTGCTCGTTTTGCTGGCTCAACTGACCCTGAACTCCTGGACGCTGGACCTTTGCCACCTTGGCCTCGCAGACCTGCGTTAGCCTGTGAGCTTTTCAGGCGAACCCGCCTGCTCTGACCTGCAGTTTCTGCTCAGGCGCCGGTCTTGGGACAGGGGCTGTCTGCAGCAGGCTAAGACAGGCACAGCTATCAGCCTCTGGGATTTCTCTACACTGCTGCTATTTCTTCCCCATCTTTTCTGGTGATTCCTCTGCCTCACCACTGACGCCCCATAAACTCATCTCTGGGTCCTCTTCCTTCCCTTTTTGTGGCATTCATCAGTTCCCATCAGATCCATTACAGGGTTTATGCAGATGAGTTCTTAACTGACAGCTCTGACACTCAACGCCCCTCCAGGCTTGGATCCCTGGCAAACTACAAGATCTCTTTTTGGCTATTTTTCTAGTATTTAGTCTCTTCCCTTCCAAACCATATCTTTTTCTTCAGCTTCTCTGTTATCACTGTCTCCATCTTTCTGGTTCTCTAGGCTCATCTTTCCCTCATGTGAAAGCATTTTGAAAAGTAAATATGAGGTCAAATATAAGGTATTCTTATCTCAGACTTTTTGCAGGACCATGTTCTCCAAAGTTTACCATAAAGCCTTATCTAGTCCTTCTCCTGAACATCATCTGGGTGCTGGTCTGGGGGTGACATTTGAGGATAACCACTATGGGGCAGAACAGAAAACTATAGAAGTTGGAGCTATGCCTAATTCCTGTTCATTGGGTCACAGGATTTGTTACAAATAACTATTCCTTTTTGTTCAACATACTTGATTTCAAACAAATACTACTGGTATTAGCAAGCATTCACTGAACACTGATTACAGACCAGGCACTGTGCCAACTATGCTTTATTCTTTCAATTCTCATAACGAAAGAATGGTACTATCACTATTACTATTGCTGCTTCAGATAAAAGGAAAATGTGGTCCACAGAAGTTAAGTAACTTTCCTAAGGACTCAGAGCTAGTAAGAGATGGTTACAATGAACAGTTTACATTCTTTTAAGCAGAAATCATCTCTCAACAAAGACTACCCTTCCACCGCCATCCCATCAATTCTGTGGCCCTGTCCTCCGTCAGAGCACTGCTAACAACTCTTTCCTCCCTGGGCCTCCTCAGTTTGCTCCTGCGGGCCAGCCCTTCGCTCCCCATCCTGGAATACCACATGGGCTGTGACCCCTTATCCTAGTTCCCGTCATGCTGGTGTTTACATGTTTCTGCTCTTTTGGCAATGTTTTCCTCATCTTGATCCCTTGATGTTTCAGAAGACTATGAATTCTCAAAAGTCAGGGGCTTTCTTTTCCACCCCCCACAACTCAGAAGTACTCAGCATACAACAGGGCCTCACCAGGGCTGGCTGAGTGGGGCTCTGACGTCGCCAATGACAAGAGTCTCAGCCTTCTGCATTGCTCCAGGAAGGCGCAGACGACCCACTGCTCTGAGCGGCAGACGCCACGGCAGGCTGGCAACAACAGGATGAAAACAGCTGACACTGACTGAGCACGTCCCACGCCAGGCACTATTTTATGCACCACAGGTATACGGACTCCACGAGTTAGGTACCATGGACAGGATGCAGTTGGCATGCAGGTTTTTCTCAGGTCTCAGTCAGGATACTGAAGGGTCCATCTCCTTTCTCTCTACATCTACAGCCCTCTGTAGTCGTGCATTTCACCTGCATCATTTAGCCGCGTCTTATATCCTCGGGTATCTACGTTTCCCACCTATTTACAAACTCCTGAAAGCACAGCCTGTGCTGACTGCTCTCACAGGGGCTATCCTGTAGCTTTCACACAGAGCTCAATGAAGGAACGAACTGGATGAAAACCTCGGGAGATCAAAAGTCATTGTATACAGACAAAAAAATCTAGACATCATTTATTACACTTTAAGCCTTACTCTAAACCATAAAAAAAGAGTCACTTACATTTAAATTAGTGCAGATTATGCTTTCTGGCTTCATGATTTGAGAAAAAATGGATATAGCTTTTGCCACCTGGTTCTAGAAGGAAGCAAAAAAAGTCAAACAAGTCATATGAACATTACTCTACTATCATAAAGATCATTTAAAGATGTCAGGTTGTTCCTGTTCATGGTGCCCCAGGGTTTTGAAGACCAATAAGAAAACAAGTTATTTGGTAATCAAAAATGAACATTCTAAAGGGGAGCTGGCCCAGTGGTGTAGTGGTTAAATTCACGTGCTCTGCCTTGGCAACCTAGGGTTCACAGGTTTGGATCCTGGGCGTGGACATACACACCGCTTGTCAAGCCATGCTGTGGCAGGCGTCCTACGTATAAAGTAGAAAAAGATGGGCACGGATGTTAGCCCAGGGCCAATCTTCCTCAGCAAAAAGAGGAAGATTGGCAACAGATGTTAGCTCAGGGCTAATCTTCTTCACCAAAAAAAAGAAAGAACATTCTATAAAATGTTTCCCATAGCGGCATATTACTGAATGTTTAACAACCTGCCCAAGTTCCAGTTTTTAAGATGGAGGCATAAAGTTGGCATTTCCTCTTCTCCCACTGGAATGAGCTTTAAAAAAAAACGAGATTGAGAAACAGAAAAGCAAACCCCATCTTTGACATAATTAGAACACAGCAGAAACCACAAACCACAGAAGAGGTGGAAGCACTGCCAAACACTGGAGATGGCACGTGGGTAAGTTCTAGAGAAAGCAGAGAGAGGAGAACACAGCTGCATATCTCAGAGAGGGCCCTCAAAGGTGAGGGGCACAACCTGAAATACAAAACCTACATTCCTGTTTACAGTGGTGGAAACACAGTTTAGGACGGGTAACGAGAAGTCTCTGGATCCTTTGGTGGCAGAGGTGAGGCCAATCAAGGATTAACACAGACAAGCCATAGTCGCAGGAAGCAGATGTCACTACGGCGGCAGCAGCAGAGAAGAGACTTCTCATTGAAAACCACGCCCGTGCCTATACCCAGTGGCCAGGGAGCAGTCAAGCCCACACATATTTGTAGACAAACACAAACTCTGCGTTACACAAAGAGAAATCCTGCTAGCCTAGAACATGGCAACACAGCTCTGTTCTCTCTCTGACATGCATCTTCTGCAAATGGCTAGTATAAAAGAAACCTATGTTTTTCAATGATGAATAATCAAAAAAGAACCAGCACGTGATCTATATAAAGACACTACGAGGAAAAAAGAGAGAGAAAAGGAATACAGCAAAACAAAATAAGGAAATAACAGGCAGATGAAGAAATCTCAGTAGAAAGACATTTCTATGGACACAGGAGAGAAATGAGAAAAACCAACAAGAGCAAGTCACTCAGAACCGGAAAAAAATCAAGCAGGCCTCAGATTTCTCCATGGCAAAATTCCACGCTAGAAGACAGAGAGCAATGCCTAAAAACCTCAAGAAAAGCTAATGTCACCTCAAAGTTTTATGTCTGGCCAAATTGTAGTTCAAGTAAAAAAACAATAAGCAAACAATTTTAAATATCAAGAACTTAGGGAATACTGTTCCACTGAAGAATTTACTGGAAGACACCTTTCAGTCAACAAAGAGATGACTGGAAAAGTAACAGCAAAACAACTAGCAGTAACATGAACATATTTAAATATATATAAGACTCAAAGAACCGTGGGGACTGTGGTTGCAGAACAGAGCGTAAATGCTGCACACCTGGACGACACAGGGTGACAGCACGAACAAGGGCCGTGAGAGAGGAGAAGGGGACGGGCAGAGGGAGGAGGCCCACCTGCTCATCTCAGTTACCTGGGCCAAAAACACCACTCACAGCTGACAGATCAAGCATATCTAAGAGAAAAGTGAATACTACGAAAGATAATCTATCAACCAAAACTGGGTGGTAGAAAAGGAGGAAAACAAGTGAAAAAGAGGAAATACACTAATTTCACCACTACTTACAGTAGAGAATTAATAGGTACTGTCAAAGGAATTAGAGGACTAAGAAAATTAAATAAAATTATGGTTTTAAAGTAGCCACTAGAGCAAAAATACAAACCAAAACAAAGAAAACCACCACATGGCACAGTTATTTTAAAAGTTACAAAACTAGAAAGCAAAAGTGGAACCTAAGATTAAATATCTGTCACATCCACATTGGGTGGGTGACACTCCAAGAAAGACTAGCAGCATATAAGGCCAAGTTCTAACCTCCGTGTGTAAGAGAATGCCTAAAACGAATGATTCAGGAAGACGCCGATAAAAGGACAAGAAAGGCGTCTGCCAGGAAATGCAAATCCAATCAAACCGGAGAAACAAACAAAAACAGGCGGGAGACAGTAACACCAGCAAGGCTGCATCCAGGGCAAAGAGATCAAACAAGAGCAAGGCAGGCACTGATAACTGTGCACACGGGAGGTTCGCAAGGGCGATTTAAGTTATGAAACATCTATGCACCAAGCATACAAATTAAATACACCAAACGGCATAACCTGAACAGCATGAAGGAAACACTACAGGAGCTACAAAGAGAAGAGACATGCGTTCCTAAGAAGAGACTTTCATTCACCCCCTGGGCTCATGACAGACAAGGACGGGGCAATGCCCTGGCCAGAGGGAAGCTTAGACAGCTGAAGCAGGAGGAGCTGGGAACTGTGTGTCCTCTTCAGTCTCTGTCCTTCAGTGACTTCCCCAGCAGGATATTTTCATTTCTAATTAATGATAAACAAGAGTTCTCCAGCCATATTTTACCATCCGGGTAAATAACCTGGCTTGGTTATTATTTTTGCTGCCATAAAATCTCCTTTTACTGCTTATTAAACGTGTAAAGTATTTCACGTTTTCTAAGGCCTTGGAATCGGACATCTTGGGAAGGGCTCTTCCAGAGGGGTCCAGGCTCCAGCTCTGTCCTTCCCTGAGCTGTGGACAGCTGCCTCCATCTGTCCAGTGAGAGACGGCGGCTAAAAGAGCAGCGCTCCAGCCGCCTCCAAATAAGAGCTGTATGGTGGACCCCACCTCTACAATGGGCTACCCAGGAGGCCTCACTCATCTGACGTGAAGTCAGCTTTGGAGAGCACTCAATTAAACTGTTCTCTGAGATGCTTCACAGTAAACCGATCATGAAATTTTCACTTGAACTACTGGAGAAATTTCTCGCAGAGCACAGTTCCCTCACTGATTCTCCGTAGGATCCTGCCCAGCCCCTTCTAAACAGCATGCACGTCCGGTCCTGGAAACATTCCCTGGGGGCTCAGGGATGGGTGTAGGTTGCATGGCACCAGAGGCACTGGTCTCCTTATGGGGACTTTCCTTTATCATACAGTCAGAAGGAAAAAAAATAAAATAAAAGCAAGAACAAATGAAAGCAGTCAAGTCCTGCCACACCCAATTCACTATGTGCCTCCAAAGCCTTACCTGATTCAGAGCTAATGCCACCGCAAAACAGGATGCTCTCCTGGAGAGGACTTCTCCCTTGATTAAGGCTTCTTCTCTCAACGTGGTACAGATTCTAAAGGACTCAGGGCTATTCTAGGAGGAGACAGGATCGCTCAATAAACACGTCACGAACCTTTAAGTTTATTGAAATGATGAACAGTGCTCAGTACTGTTCAGACTTCCTTTTGGAAGAATTTCCCAGAGCCTATCTCAAGCTACTTAAAAGATTAAGCCCCCTGTAAAGACTATTTGCAAATAGACCAAGTTATCTATTTATTAGCAGCTCAAATCTAAATTACCTTTACTTTTAAAGCTCTTTGTCAATTTTCTGACTGGGGGCAGTTTTACCAGCAAACACACAGGTCTCTGTATCCTGGCCGGCTGGTTTCTAGACACAGGCACCATAACGTAAAAGTGTAGAGTCAGCCTGCCACTCTATTAAATAGTAGAGGAAAGCTCGGGAATACCACAGAACTCTTCCTGAGGGCAGTTCCAATCTGAAACACCCACGTAAGTCAAATATCTGAAGACATGAACACTTATTTGAATGTAAATCATGAAAGAATCCCACGAAAACAGAAACCTTAAAAAAAAAATCCAAGAAGGTGAGTGATACACAAACCAGCAGAAAACAACGGTAAAGCCAAATCCTCTTCCTTTGTACACGCTGTAGGTGGACTAGGGTTATGAGGGCAGCACCAGCTCTGCATCTGTGTATGGCTGTCATGACATGATTCACAACTCAAATCCTAAAGTAAAACCTGAATTTGATGCGAGAGGACAGTTCCCAGAATTGGCTTGGAATTTGTAACGGCTGACCAGTTCAATTTTCAACTCCAGTCTCCACTGAGAGAAACAAGTTACTTTTGGACACAGTACAGGGGAGAATAGTCCTCTGGCCCTTCCTTAGTAATAGCATTAAATTCTCCCCACTTCAGCACACACTCAGGGAGGCATCTTTAAGAAGGTCAGAAAGTCACAGTGTTATCACAATGCCGAATACCTGACGCTCGAGTGTTGTGTTTTGTTGGCCCTCTGTTCCACAGAATCATAAAATGGTACGACCAGAAAGGATCATCTAATTATCCAGTGGTCAGCAAACCATGACCCTTAGGCCAAATCAAGCCTGTGGCTAAAAACGATTTTTACACTTTTAAAGGTTTGTAAAAACAAAAACAAAGAATATGTGGCAGAGGACAAACGCGGCCAAGACCGTATGTGGGCCCAAAGCCTAAAATAGTTACTCTCTGGCCTTTAGGAAAAAAGCTTGCTGCTCCTAATTCAACTCCTTCGTTTCACAAATGAAGTTTCAGGGAAGTTTTTCAATGGCCCACATTCGTCTACCTTGCTTGGCATTCCTTCATTTTCTGCATAAAAAGGTTTTGTTAAGTTTCCAAAGTTTAAATGGCATGAATGATTACAGTAATGCACGGAACCTTGGTCACTCAGTTATCATCCATTCATTCAACAAATAATGAAGAAACAGTCTCTATGTGCAAGAAGCAATCTTGATACAGTAATGACACAGGGACTTTTAAGTCATGCTCTCTGTCCTCAGAGTTCCTGTTAACACCACATCCATTTACTCAAGGTCAGCGGTGTACCAGGCTCTGTTGAGTGCCGGCACACAGGACCCGCCCTCTCATGGCAAGGATGACACAGGCCTCTACTTAGAGCAGCATCAGGCAGTGCTGGAAGGGCCCATGTGGGATACGGATGGAGCGCTGTCAGGAGACACTGGGGGAGGAACACCATTGCTGACTTCGCGAGCACAGAGAAATTCACATGAAGACGAAGCAGCCTGGGGCTTGCCACCCCTGGGAGAGGCCACAGAGCATATTGGTCCAGTGGAGTCCAGCACAAGCCTGGTGGCAAGAATACTCTAAAGCAGAGTGCAAGCCCAGCTGACTGTTTCTCGTTCTCACTGTCTACACAACTGCTAGAGACGGCTGGAAGATGACAAAATTGCTCTTCCCATGATAGAACTGTCTGACACAGCTAACTTGAGTTTTCTAAAAATGAACACATTTAAAATGGAAATATCTGCACCAGATGGAAAACAGACTTCAGAGGAACTCAAGTTTATTTGTAGAGAAAAAGTAAATCCTCCCCCAAACACTATCCGCAATGCTCTGAAAGTTAAGGGAACGAGTCTTACCAGTTTGTAGCAAATGGCAAAAGCAAGGACATAGGTATCTTTGCTGAACTTCACATCTTGGTTTTTCATCTCAATCAGCACTTCCAATGCACCTGCCAAAGTCAGGAGTGGGCCGGCAGTGTTAAATGTGTGTAAGTGAGTTCAGAGTTGCCTACTGCTGATCCCCAGAGTTCTAATCTGTTCAGCACCATCTACTGAAGACCGCATTTCAGCACAATAAAAGCTATCTGTCAAAGTCATTTAGCAATTAACTAAACTTCAAAATAATCAGGTCATATAAGAAGAACTCATATTTTAAAACTTATTATAATTTCAGCATAAGTACAATCTGGGGTGTTTACTTCATGGCATGACATGAGATGCAATAAAGTTTTCAAATTTAACGAATGAGGTCTCCATAATTTGGCTGCTCCTCAGGAATATAAGGATCATATTTGCTTGGCCCATTGTTTTCCCTAATCGCTATACCAGCAAAGATAGCAGAATCTTTCAGCAAATATATATCGCAATACTTACTTTTATATTTGCCTTTGATAAATAACATATCCATCAAAATATTGAATGATGTGCAGTCTGAGAAGAAACCTCGTAAATGCTAATGAAGAAAAACAATACAGTTGGTTAAAAGTTAAAACTATTAAGGGAGTATTTATCCTTATACTGCATCTTATCTGTCCAGGACTTATTTTTGTGCATATTTTACTCATTTAGCCTCCTGAATTCTCTAATAAATCTCTGGATATACCAAAGATTTATTTTTCAAAAAAATTCAAATGCTGCCCACTCTCTTGGCTGCCGTGCCTTTGGCAATGGGCACACTGACCAAGAGGCAAGAGATCTCTGGGTTTCAGAAATACAGTGAAGAACGTTTCATGAAATGTGACTCTGCCATGCTTAGGAGAAAAGAAACTAGCCAATTACTCCTGGCGGGGGTGGTCCTGGAACCTGGGGGCAGCATATTAACAGGAAACTGCAGCTCTAAGCACGCTGGAGGACTAAGGCAGGAGAGTCTTACACAACTATCATCCTCTTTTGACAAACAAACAGTACAGAATTGATCATTCACTTTTTGAAATAATTCACTAAAACAGTGGTTCTCAACATTTTTTTCTCAACATTCTTAATGCCAAGAAAATGTGACACATGCTATTCAAATATGCCATTAACTGCCTTGCCCACGTTTGTTCTTTTCTGAAAGCCTCCTATGCAGACTCTGTTCTAGGTGCTGAGAATAAGGAAATGACGTATAAGATGCATATCCTGCCTTAAACTCTAGTGGGGCTTATAAGCTAGTGGAGTGTAAATTCTGCCAGGGGAGACAATGAACAAGTGAATAAAACAAGTGAAAAAAGTAAAAACATAACTTCAAGTATCAATAAGGGCTATGAAGAACAATGAAACAGGATAAAGGGACAGAGAACATGCTGGAAGGTGGTCAGGAAAGGCTCTCTGAGAAGAAACCTTAGTGCAGTAAAGGAGAAAGGCTCAATGATGAGGGTGCAGACCAGTCTGAGGCCATGGGCTTGGCATATCCAGGAAGAACAAGGAGGTCCAGAGGGGAGTGAGCAGCGGAGAATGGCAGGAGACGAGATACCAGCCAGGGCCCTCCGGTTCATGGTTGGGGTCTGAGTTCTCGTCTACGTATGATGGGAAACCACCAGAACAGCCCTGTCCATAGGAATATATTGCAAGCCACACGTGCGAGCCATGTCTGTGATTCTAAATTTTCAAGTAGCCTCATTAAAACAAGTAAAAAGAAATACATGAAATAAGTTTTAATAACATGTTAGTCAACCTACTAAATCCAAAATATTATTTCATCATGTAATCAATATAAAAATTAATGAAGTACTCTACATTCTCTTTTTTCTTCCAAGTATTCGAAACCCATCATGTATTTCACACGTACAGCACGTGGAAATCTTTTTTTTTTTTTTGAGGAAGATCAGCCCTGAGCTAACATCCGTGCTAATTCTCCTCATTTTTTTTTTTGCTGAGGAAGACTGGCTCTGAGCTAACATCTATTGCCAATCCTCCTCCTTTTTTTTTCCCTAAAGCCCCAGTAGATAGTCGTATGTCATAGCTGCACATCCTTCTAGTTGCTGTATGTGGGACGCGGCCTCAGCATGGCCGGAGAAGCGGTGCGTCGGTGCGCGCCCGGGATCCGAACCCGGGCCGCCAGTAGCAGAGCGCACACACTTAACCGCTAAGCCACGGGGCCGGCCCAGCACATGGAAATCTGAACTAGCCACAGTCCAAGGCTCCACGGATACACACACGTGGCCAGTGGCTACTGTCCTGGCAGCACTACGGGTTCCGGGGCCACAACATGTAAGGGCGGAAGCAGGACTGGTTCTAAGTCACTTGACTCGAGTTCAGTCTATCCTGCTCCTCCAGGGAACCTGCTCATGCACGAATGTTTCATACATAGGCAGGTTAAAAAAACACAAAACCTTTACTTTCATTTCCTTTTTGTTTGTTTTTTTATCATTATACTCATGGTTATGATTTATTATAGTGAAACTTTCATTTTCTTTTAATTACGACATCAATACATGTTTATTATAAAATAGTCAAACAATACAAAAACATATAAAGTAAATAATTCTACCCCCTAAATATAAGCAGTAGTTTAGTGTATATCCGTCCAGGTTTTTAATACATATACAGCATACTAAAATGTGAATATGTGTGTATATTTCTTCTTTTAGAAAAAAGTAGGCTCAAACTTATCTGTACTGTTCTGAAACCATCTCTGTGCATACTAAATTATGGTCATTTTGTGTCCTTAAAAGACGGGCAAGCCGAGGGTTAACAGCTCCACCAAGGATAGGACACTTCACATGGAAACAGTAAGAAGCAGGACAACTTAGTTACGAAAGTTCCTAAAAACACCAGAACGTTCCTGGTGGCCAGCCCCGGCTCCAAAATCTAACAACTGTCTCTGACCACAGATGAATTTATAATGTCTCTGAGTCCCAGTTTCCTCACTGTAAAATGGAAATAATGATAGTGTCCACCTCCCTGGGGCTATTGCAGGAAACAAATGAAATGAAGCATGTACAGTGCTGAAGCACAATGCTGAGGACATAGTGAATATTCAATAAATAATTACAAAAATAATCATTGTTGTTTTGGTCTTCAGGAAAAGAAAACCAGAATACGTGGAAGTGTTCTGAAAATGGAAAAGTACTTTACAATGTAGCCTTCAACCAGAAGTGAGAACACAAACACAGGAGAGAAGCGCGGGTGAAGGACGTGAAGGACAGAACGGCAGCCTGTCCTAACCACCCACTACAGCTCCTCGGAAGAGAGGGTGTCAGTCCCGCGTGTAACCGTGCCTACACCTCCTCCATACCTGTCCCGCTCCTCTGTACAGAGACCTACTCCTCGTCAGAGGCACTCTCCAAGGAACTCTCGCAAATTCAAAGCGAGCTCATTCATCGCCGTCTCTGACAATAACGAGAAAGGGAGCTGCCTGTCCTGACATCCCCAAACCGTCCCACCCTCAGCAGCAGGGAAGGCAATCAGGACACAATAACCTGGTCTTGGATGAGCTCCACTGCAGATTCCTCGAGATCCAGCTCGTAGCACAACCTCATGAACAGTGGTCCAAACTTATACTCTCCCAAGGTGACGTTTCTGTTCTCCGCGTGGTACCTGGCAATGAAGAGTCAGTGAGGCAAACAGTGGGACATGGGGAAGGACGACAGACCGGGGCATCCGCTCTGCTAGGTGCTGGGGACATAAACATAAGGCCCTCTCCCGGTCTGGAGCAGAAGTGCAGAACGGAGGCTATCAGAGGAATCTTGGAGTGCAGAAGTATAAACAAACAACAGGGTTTGTTAGAGGCCCAATAGTCTGTGAAATAAAAGAGAGGAAAAATGGACATTGTAATCATCTTCTCAATTGACCAAGAACCCCCTACGACTGAATGTGAGGCTATGTCGGGAACAGCAGGGGCCCTGCATCTGTCGGCCCATTGGAATGGCACTGTCTCTGTATGGGCCCCACTTGGAGGAGAACAGAGGAAAGGGGTGGGGCGACGCTCTGACCCCTCAGGCTGGCTTTGGCCCATCTGGGCTGGCAGACAACCCACAGCTGCACCTTACAATTGAGACTTCTCTCTCTGCTTTTCCCAGCTTGGGGAAAGGCATATGCCAGCTATAATCACCCAGCTAAACAAGTTAAATGAAGTTTGGAAATGTCAGTTTTAGGAAAAGGCTAATTTCAAAGACAGTGACGTCTTACACGTGGCTTGAGATTTCTTCCAGTGGCCAGTTTGCCAATTAGAACTGCACGCAAATTGCTAGCATAAATTTACTTTCAATAACCAACTCTTTCTGCTTGAGACACAAAGACAATCTGGTAACAAAACAAGTACCTCACGATGACACGTAAATCAGATTTTGGGAAGGTTCAGTCGTTATGTGAAGGAATCACAAATACCATGGAGAAAAGCTCTGACTTTAAAAAACAGAACACTCTTTAACCTTCTGCTGAAATCACTGAGGAAAGTCACCGTGGCATCCTGAGTAGTCTGTCCTCAGCACACACACCGCCGAACAGAATGACGATGTACTCTTCAAGATACAGTTCATGACTCAAGTACGGAAGTTACAGAAAATATTCACTGCTTCATTACAACAGTTATGAATTATTATATCAAAACATCAAGTTGTATGCCTTAACTAGATGTAATTTTTATTTGTCAATTACACCACAACAAAGCTGGAAAATAAAAGAAATAAGCTATTAAAACGCAATCTAGAGTAGAGATTAAGGATTTTTAGACTCTTATTCCAAACTGACAGTTCAAATCCCCTTTCTACTCTTCTACTTACTGCACAACCGTGAGCAAATTAATTAACCACTCTGTGCCTCAGACCCTTGTCTGCAAAATGGAGACAAGAGCACTGAACTAAGAGTCTTGTGAGGATTCAAGGAGACGACGTGCCTGGCACACAGCAAGTCGTCCATGCACGTTAGCTCTTACAAAAGGCAAGGCCTGCCGAGGAAAACATCTTTAAAAATCAACATATTTCAGTAAATAGTCTTATGAGAAACTTGTGCCAGATTAAAAACAAAACAAAGCAAAAACAAAGGCTTTCCCAATTTAAACGACATGTACGCTAACACAAGTGCAGGAAGTCGCAGGTAACGCGTATCACCTCAGAAGGTCAGAGGGTCTAAGACTCCTCTACAAACCAAACCGCAGCACGCGGCAGGATTTCGAGGGGAGTATGGTGCTCTCATTCAATAAACGGCTTATGTCGCGCTCACTGCTCTTCTTCCCAGCGTGGGCCCCCGTCTCAAGAGGGTGAGGCAGTGGACCCCTACCTTCCCACTTCTCCAGCCGATCGCCAGTCGACAGAAAGAGCAGCAGCTGGGCAGAGAGCCGTTAGCATCAATTAAGGAATTATGAGTCATACCTGAATGTTTATGACAAAAATTGGAAAGAGTATTCAGAATTTTATCCTGTTTTATGACTTTTGTAAGCATCTGACAGCTTTGGGTACTAAAAAGAAGACTGAGAGTACAACAGGCCAGAGGGTCTCAAATGACTAAACTTGGTGAAACTGAAGCAGCAGAGTTAGGTTTGCTGATACCCTGTGACTATAAACCAGCACAGCCCTTCTGGAAAATCATCTGGCAGCTTGTATTGACTAGCTTTAGAAAGTTCATACCCCCTGATCCCAAAAAGGAAATAAAGAATAGGTTTTATGCATAGAGTTGCTCATCACAGCATTATTTATACTGGTGAAGAATTAGAAATAATTTAGACATTCAACAATAGGAGCACAGTTAATTAAAATACCTAACAGACGATGGAATCTTGTATAGCCATTAAAACACGATTCCTATGTTAACAAGCAAAAACATTTATGCTACAATACTAACTTAGAAAACAAGAAAATATCATTATATATACAGTAAAAATCACACCATATAAAATCAACCCTACCAAAACCACAAAATTTTTATGTGAAAAAAAATCGGTGAGAAAACATATGAAAATATTAACAGCGGTTTTTCTTGGATGTGGTAGATAGGCCACCACCAATTCCTCTCCTCCCTGTACGCGCACGCTGCTCCATCCATCCAGAGGCGGAATCCCTCCCCCCACCTTGAATCTGGCCTGGCTGGGGAACTTGCGTATATGAATACCTTGCATTTCTCTCTACACATGCACAACAGAAACGCAGGTCTACGTAGAGATATATATACTGTTTAAAGAACAGTAAAAAGAAGCAATGAACTTAATTTCAGAAATGAAGGTTATGGTATAGTGTCACACTGTCCCCGAGGAACCTTTGCTGGTTTCCTGACAGCAGACTAAGAGTCCATACAAGTTCCTCCTGACGAGGGAACTCCGACAACGGATTGGAGAGGATGGGACACACGGGCATTAGCCCGGGGGAGGGAGAAGACTAGGAGCCCCGTGAGGGACGCTGAGGCCTGAACCAAGACACTGGTAATGGGCCAGAGACAAGAGACGCCGGGGAAGCAGGAGCAGACGGAGTTCTTACCTGTCAGGGAGGAGAGCAAATGAGATCGGGGGAAGAGGCTCCCGGGTATCTGTCCTGAGCGACTGGTCAGTGTGACGGAAAACACAGCTAGAGGAAGAATTCGTGAAAGCTGAACGTGAAGACTGAAGGGACGTGTAAGAGGGGTTAGTGAACAGGCCGCTGAGCTCCCAGCATGAATCTCTGTGCATCCTCAGCACCTGGCACGCAGCAGGAACCCAGGAAGTGTTTGCTAAATGAAGGAACAGATGTCTGGAGATCAGGCAGGCACCTGGACCGGAGATTTATAAGCCATCAGTAGAGGGGTGACAGCTGACACCCTGGACGTGGATGAGGCTGTTCAGGAAGAGGACAGAGCGAGAAGAGATGAAGGCCGGCAGAGCTCTGGGGAAATGCCTCACCTGTGAATGACGTTTTTAGCCAGCTCCACATCATCCTGGGACTCACAGAGATGAAGAAGGGTTCTCAACTCCTCCCTCAAGATGAGCCTGTTCTGGGTCACTTTCTCTTCCAAGTCTCTCAGATAGGATTCTGAAAGAAAGAACAGTGTGGTGGCCATCTCTCAGGCTGACTGGGACAGCAAGGAGTCTCACCTCAGGGAGAAGGGGAAGCCGGAACCTGGCACACTGCAAAGGGGCCCCAAGAGGGGCTCATGGCCACGCAGCTCCCATCACTGGCTGGTCTCCTCCAGAGCTGAGTGTGAGATGGTGCATGAGGCCCAGCAGCTGCATCAGAGGGGTCACAGGCCCAGGCCCCACTCAAGACTTTCTAATAGAGAATTTCCGGGAGTAGGAGCACAAGAAAATGCATTTTTGACTACCTGGGTGATCCTTATGCACACTCAAGTCTGAGAACTAATGTCCCTGAGGCTTAGCCCAGAGAACTGGATCTATAGGTGACTCACAAAAAAGAAAAAAAGAAAGAAAATGTAACCAAGATACCCAAACCATCAAGTGGCGGGGCACCTAGCAGTAAAACGTGAACTGAAGATGGTTGACCCACGTGGTTGACTCACATGATTCAAGAACACTTCACGTCTCTCACTGATTCAACTTTATCTCATTCATTCCTCTTGGTCTCTCTACGCAGCTGTTAGAAAGCACGCCACAGCACTATATAATGCACAGGGGTAGAACACAGTGCTCTAGACAGCAGCAAACACTCTGCTAGTAACAGAATCACTTCAAGGTAATCAGTCTATCTCTGTCCCACGTCTTTTTGTGTCTCCTGTGGGGACAGTCAAACGCCAAGAGGAAACCCTGCTTCTTGGCGTTAGGAAGGGACTGCATTCTGGTCAGAATGGGGGTGAGACGCAAAGGCAGGCACAAGCAAGCATCTGCTTTCCAGAAGGCAAGGTTGTTCTCAGTGCCAGAAGCTGCCAAGAAAAGTCTACAGGATTTGCTCCAAGGCCCAGGGCTTTGAAGAAACACTGTTTAAAGGAGTGGCACAATACACATTAAAGACACAAGATCGGGAGGCTGAGGCAGACGCTGCTCTCAATTCACAAGAAAGAAGGCCCAGCAGGTTTGAGTGAACGCAGTGGGTCCTCCGGTCTTTATCTGCAGAACCACACAGTGGTTGAAGGTGTTAGAGATGGAAGGTCCTGGGCTGAAATCTAAGCTCTGGTGCTTGCGTGCTACAGACACCTTGTCTGTGAGATGTGATTCCTCACGTGTGCAGTGAGGGTCATGACACCGACCTCCTGGGGTCATCCTCAGATAACACAGCACAGGGCCTGGCAGACAGTAACCGCCAGTAAGTCACAGACAAGACTATCCTCATTCTCATTACTTCTGTCACCTCAGATTCAAGAGGACTTAGTCTATTAAATATTTCTAAACAACTTCCAATCTAAAAGATTTCAATGGGCTAAATTTACACCTTGTAATTCTTAATCCTTAATAAACCTTAAGAATTCAACATTTCAACAGACATACTTTGTATTTTAAAACAAATCAGTCAGGATTCAAGGGCTTACCATTTGTTCATATTCAGAGGTGTCCTTCCTGTGGGAGACACAAGGAGGGACAAGGTATGGTTCCTGCCCTGAAAGAGCCTCAAGTCTACTTGAGACGGCAAGAGATGAGTTCACAGAACTGACTGAAAACAACGGTGAAGGGGCCGACACATGACTGACTGTAAACACCCGGGAGAGGAGAGCAAGAGGGGCGGCAGGAGCGGACCAGGCTGGGTGGGAGGGGAGCGGTCCCAGAGGAGGGCGGGGCTGGACAGGGCTGGGGAAACTGAGAAGAGCGGGGACACTGCAGGTCTCTAGGAATGGGAATCGGCACAGAATTCGGGGAGAAAGGTGGTGAGGAGAGAACAGTGAGCAGATTAACAGGAAATCACACTACAGAAAGAGCAGGGCCACGATGGAAGAGCGGGGACGCCGGGGGCAAGTGTGCACGAGACGTGGTGTACAACGAGTACCACTGCGGGTTCTTATGACGATGAAGTGTCAACTGGATTTTATAAACATCAACCTGACAGTGGAGCCCACTGACACATTATATTCACTGCCTTCAGAACATATGCACAGCTGACGTAGCCTTAAAAATACTACGACAATTGGAGATAACAACCAGACAATGATATGGAGCCCTAACTCTGCAAACTTCACAGGGCTCCAACAGACCTGGGGCAGAAAGTGAGACTGAAGGAAAACCTAGATTGAGTCGACTAAACTGGAGGTTAATATATTCTCTCCCATGCTCGGCGGCCTAGTGGTTAAGATCTGGTGCTCTCACCACCAAGGCCTGGGTTTGTTTCCCGGTCAGGGAGCCACACGACCTGTCTGTCGGTTGTCATACTGTGGCGGCTGCGTGCTGCTGTGAGGCTGAAAGCTATGCCACCGAGATTTCCAATACCAGCAGGGTCACCCATGGGGGACAGGTGTCAGCGGAGCTTCCAGACTAGACAGACCAGGAAGAAGGACCTGGCCACCTACTTCCGAAAAGACTGGCCATGAAAACCCCGTGAACAGCAGCAGGGCATTGTCTGATGGTGTGCTGGAAAGTGAGAGGATGGCATAGAAAGACCGGGCAGGGGTCTGCTAGACCCCTGGACACAGGGTCCCTAGAAGTCGGGTCAACTCCACGGCACTAACAACAACAACAACCACCACCACCACCACAACCCCGCTCCTAAGACTTATCGTCTTGTCCCACAGGTAGTTTAGGTAACAGTATGAGTGGTGGAGCAGCAGGGAGGACTGATCTCTGGGGGACTGGACTGTCAATCAGGTGCTCATAAACATCTGACAGCGAGAGGAAGCAGAGGGGAAAAGTTAACAGAGACAAACAGAAGAGTTGTTAAAAGCCAGGAGTGTGAAGTACCAGGAAAAACACAACGTGCAAGGAGCGAGGGAACGAATGCAACAAGATTTCCCAGATGCTGAAAGGGAATGGGACCTAGGGTGGTGGTGGTGTGTTTTAGCTTTCTATAATAAAAATTTTCAAACATACCCAAAAGCAGTGAGAACAGCATAATGACCTCCCACGTGCCCATCACCCAGACTCAACCACTATCAACACTTTGCTAATTTCTTGAGCCTACTGACCTTTCCAGCAGAGAGTAGAAAATGTGAAAATGCATCATCACACACAGCACTGTTTTATTTCATTTATATATAGATCTATATGTGTGTACTGGAGATGCAATGTAAAATGTATTTTTTCCTGAGGGTTGCATCAAAAAGTCTGAAAGCCAAGCACCTGGAGCAGTTCTTCTCAGACTTTACTGTGCATGAGAATCGCCTGGGGCCTGAGGTTTTCTATCCTCATTTCTATCAACCGCCCAGTTGCTGCTGATCCTTGAACCTTATTTTGATTGGCACGGATCTAGAGAGGACTGGTTGCAGCAGTAGTTTTAGTATTTCTCTGGGATCCTGGGATAAGGGATAAGAAGAGACCTGCAGACTCCAGTAGTAGCAGAGAGTGAGATGCAAGTGCATGAAAGCGTAGACTAGGAAACTAAGAATGAATCGTCTCCACTTTTCCTGAGACATAAGGTCCTTGAAGCAGAGACTGAATGGGGATAAAGACAGGAAACTTGAATGAAAGCTCAATAAAAGAATTAACAAAATAGATTCAATTACCTTTGGTGCCAGGAAGATTACATGCAATAGCCACCTTCTTATGCTGAAATTCTTTTAATTTCACAATACTGTCTGTAAGTAGATATCTTTTAGCTAAAAATCAGAGAAAGAAAAAATAAAATCATTTGACTGTTTTATACTTAGCAAATAACACGAGTATAGCTTGATTGCCTCCTTCTAATAACTGATCTTAAATCTTCATCTAGTACAAATAACTCATCTAGACGGGTACAAATATGACAGTTGCCCTGGGGGGAAAAGACATCTTCAACTACCAGAGAATGCAAATCTTCAGCCGGACAAGTTTTGTTTGTGTGTGTGAAAGGAGCTGGTGATTAACTGTGTATGGAGACAGGCTGACAGGAAGCTGGGATCCAAAAGACAGACATTCATCGTCTGGTTAAGGGATAACAAGAGAATTGAGAAAACAACAACAAAAACGAAAGGCTATTGTTTAAATGGAAAACAGGCATACCCAGTTTTGGTTTACCTAGGTAGAAGCACAGAGCGTAGTGAAAAAGGTGTAGTGTGACCATTGGAATTCCCAGTTCTGTCATCTGTGAAATGAGTTATGGCCTCTCAGATTTGGACTCTAAGAATCCTCAAGATCCATCAGAAATCACTGACCACGATTTGGGAGAGAAGGCGAGTTTGGGAAACATCACCATTTCTTTAGGATGCTCGCTGTGCACGGAGTGGAGCTTGGCCAGAGAATCATCCACTAAAAGAGCTCTGTGTGCCCCAGTAACAAGGACACAAGAAAAAGTGCCACTTCTTCATGGAAGGGCGTCCACAGGAGTGGTTACACAGGACTCCACTGTGGCTGCCTGGGTTCAAATCTCTCCTCTCCCGGCTCCCTGCGACCCTGGGCAAATACCTCCACCTTGCAGTTTGCCCCTCTGCAGAGGAGAGAAGTACGGCACCTGTCACTGGTGTCGCGCGGAGAAAAGGAATTAATGTCTGTAAAGTGCATCAGAGTGAGGCCTGCACGAGTCGGGTGTTTTATTACCATTCACGAGCACTGTCACGAAAACGTCAGGGGTAATTCCTCAAGGAGGACCCCCCGCCCCGGGTCCTGCAGAGCCGGACTCCGACCCCGGCAGAGCGGTGCACCGGCGAGGGGTCCCCAGGGCTACCACGGCCCAGGTCGAGCCCCCGCCCTCCGTCCTTTGCTTCCCCGGTGCACAGGCGTCACGACCCCGGGCCCCGCAGACACCGCTCCAGAGGGCAGAGCCCGCGCTTCCTGTCCCAGCCCCTCCCTCCCGGCCCGCCCGGTACCTCCGAGGGGGCAGCGGCAGCAGGCGGGGCCCGAGCCGCCCGCCCCAGGACGCACCCAGCTCCCCAGCGCCCGCAACAGAGCCAGCCTCCGCCCGCACGCGGCGGCCATGCTGCCGGGCCGCACCAACTCGCGGGGCGGGGGGCGTCGGCCGACTGGGCCCCGCCCCTTCCTCGGCCCCCGCCCCTTCCGGCCCACAGGCCACCACCCCCGGGCCCGTGTCCCCTTGGTATGCTCCAAGATGGCGGCCCCCATGGCGCGGCACGGGCTCCTGGTGGCGTGGAAGAAGCTTCTTCCTGCTCCCGCCCTGGCAGGTGGGTGCTGCTGCCTTCGTGGGCTGCTTCCCGAGGCCCCGGGGAACTCTTCCTTGAGTGAGGGAGCGATGGGCTTTCAAGAGGGAGGAAATGGCTCTGGGATCTAGTTGCCAGAGACACCGTCCGGGGTGTCTAGTAGCACGGAGAGGGGAGGTAAGGTCTCTGATCCACCTCCTTCCCTAGAATAATGGTATCTGCCCGTCCAAAGGTGCGAAGAGCAGAGGAGTCGTGGCGTGAGAGCTTTTGCGTATGATTTGCTGGGTTTGTGTGTTAGGGTGGTCTCCATTTTGCTGACCGTGAAAAGCCCAAATGGCCCACCCCTGGGCTGTGGGACCATTCTCCTCGCTGAGGTTTCCTTCCCAGGGACGTCGTAGATGTTCTGCTTCACCCCGCACTGTCCAGGCCCCTGGCCTTCACTTGGCGGTAGGGTTTTTCAGAGCTAATCTCTCTTCACCTCATGTCCTTGGGCACATTTGATTGACCTTTCTTTGCTACATTTTTCCACGTGCAGACGGTAAATGCTAATGGTTACTTCTAAAGCACTTTGATGTCTGAGGAATGGCAGCCCACTAAAAATTGGTTTAATTGATATGCTGATGAAGACACTGGGAAAAAATGTTTAATATTTACGGAAGCTAAATCCCGATCTAGTTAGCCACATGTAGCTAGTAGCTCCGTCAATGAAACAGCACAGGTATAACCTACCACAGGGTCACCAGTTCAAGCTAAGACCAAAATGCTACGTGGAAATTCTCTCAATTCACCCTTATCTATCTCCATTCCCTTGTTAGAATGATTGCCCCTAAATGTTCTAAGCAACCAAACTTCCTGATAGACAATAATCACAGTTGATGTTTCCACTGCCTGTTACCTCCTCTTTCTGACATATTGCCTGTAGCCCCTATGAAAAAGCAACACATACACTCTTGCTCACACTTTAGGCACAGCCATTAAATATCAACGTGAAGCCTAATAGTTGGCCACCAGAGGTTTTCTGAGGATTCACCGGTTGACCTAGCTGGTGAAAATATTTAATGCCACACGCTGGGAAAAGCGGTGTGCACAGTACCTGGCACCTGAGTAAGAGTTAGCTGTTGTAGCTATTTACTAACATGTTTAATGATTGTTAGTAAGTAACTGCTTTTCAATTTAAACAAGACCTTGGATTGTCTGTCAGGGAGAGGATCATGGTTGCTTACAATGTTTGGGGGTAGTCATTCTAACAAGGGAATGGACATTAGATAATAGTGAATTGACAGAATGTCCAGTTAGCACTTTGGTCTTAGTTTGAACTGGTGAACCTGTAGTAAGTTACGGCTGTGCTATTCCATTGTGGTAGCTACTAGCTACATGTGGCTATTCAAATGAATTAAAGTAAAATAAAATAAAGAATTCAGTTCCTTGGTCATACTAGCTACATTTTAAGTGCTCAGTAGACACCTGTGGCTAGTGGCTACTGTATTGGACAGCTCAGAATTGAACATTTCCATCATTACAGAAAGTTATATTGAATAAGCACTGGCTTAGACCATAGATGAAAGGAATCTTGTAATCAGGAACTGGAAGCTATAAGGCAGGTAATATAAGTACGTAGGATAATGCATGATGGGCCATACAGATCGGACAGTGCTCATAAGGAGCTTGACTTTAAGTCCTCAAAGTATCTTGAACCATTCCAGGATAAGACAGGAAGAATATTCTACTGTGTACAAATTCCTGTTGAATCAGTATTGGAACACTTTGGTGCTTCCATTGATTTCTCCATACAACATGATGGAGAAGGGCAACTAAAATGATCAAGAGGATAAAAAGAAAATTTATTGAGATGAACCAAAAAACTGACTTCAATATCTGAAAAGCCTAGAAAGGGAACTTATCAGGCACCTATTACATAGTGGATATTAAGCTAGACACTTAATATATGCCCTCATTTAAACTATGATACAAGGTAGGCAGTATTTCTCCATTTTACATGTGAAGAAAGAGGCTTGGGGACCTGGTGTAACTTGCCCACATTTTTCTAGCATTTCTTAGCAAGGCAAGGATTCCAGCTTGGACTTTGTGACCCCCAAAGCCTGTCTGTGTCCACAGTCACACTGCTTCCCTTTGGATGGAAAACGCTTTTGGAGACATTTGACCAAAGGCCAAGATAACTGTAGAATGAGTTAGGATATGGACAGAGCCAGTCAGTTTTCACTAAACTTTGAAATTCTGGTCCTTGGAGGTATCTTTTCAGAATTAAATGGAGAAAATATTTCTTTTTATGGTGGATAGTTATCTTAGAGAATATGGTTGCCCCCAAAACTGACTGGCTGAAGTGTAAGCAGGTTTGGGAAGAGTGTATATATACCCTTGGGTGGCATATTCAGAGTGGGATTAAACAGGCTCAGAGACCTCGACCTGTGAGGCTGTTATCATTCTGTCCCCTTGCTGCTTCACTGTGGTCTGAAGGTCAACATCATCATCATCGCCTGGGAGCTTGTTACAAGTGCAGAATCTGTCCCCACCCCAGACCTCCTGACTCAGTCTGCATTTTATCAAGATCCATATGCACATTCAAGTTTGAGAAGCTGATTTAGATTTTCCACTTGGCCATTGCCCACCCAGTTTAATGTTCTGACTTTATAGAAATTTTTTGATTCTAATGTTAATATACAACCTTGCAACTACTATGCAGTGATGGGAAGAACTTTAAATGGTGTCATTTATAAAGTATCGCAAAAAGATGAACATTCTGCTTTAAAAGGCTTACAGAAAATGGAATGTGTCTTTCTGAAGGTGTAATAATTTCCTCTTGCTGCTCTAACAAATTACCACAAATTTGGTGGCTTAAAATAACACAGATATATTATCCTACAGTTCTGCATGTCAAAAGTCCGACACAAGGTCTTAATGCGCTAAAATCAAGCTGTTGAAGGGGACATGTTCCCTTTGGGAATCTCTAGGGGAGAATCTGTTTCCGTGCCTTTTCCATCTTCTAGAGACCACCTGCGTTCCCGGTGATGGTCCCTTTCTCAGACATCTTTGAAGTGAGCAGGGGCAAGTCAAGTCCTTCTTAGATCACTGTCTTTCACGAGTCACACTCACACCTCTTCCACTTTTAAGGACTTGGTAATTACGGGCAACAACAATAACACAGGACAATCGCCTCATTTTAAGATCAGCTGGTTTGCTGATCTTAATTCTGTCTGCAATCTTAATTCCCCTTTGCTCTGTACCCTAACATATTCACGGGTTCTGGGGATTAGGACATGGACATCTTTGAGGAGGACATTATTCTGCTTACCATACTTGATAACTCATTCCTCTGTTTGTCATTGGTTTCTATTGGGAAATTTTCCATTTGCCAAATTTAAATTCTTCATCCTTATACCCAGTTCCTTTTGTTCTATCCTGAATGGAGATGGAAAATGATTACTGGTTACGTTCTTATAAAGCAGACATTAAGAAGTTCATATATATAAAGTTGCTGGGCCTCCCTTTTGTAGCTTCACTAGTCCTAATTTATTTTGCTTTCAGGTCATGTGATCCCCTAGAACAACTGCACACAGAGGACATTCTGGGACTCCTGTCTTTCCCACCATCACATCCCCCTCTTTTTGTCTCCCAGTTGAAACCTCTTGAACATTGATCTAGATAATTGTCTTTTCTGACTCCAGAATATGGAGGGGTGATTTCTTATGCTCGCATAAAGCATATGCTAGAAGAAGAAATAGAAAATAAGTGAGAAATTACAATAACACTAAGTAGAGAGCAAGTCAGTCACTGGTCTCCTGGAGTATAGAGCTCACCAGTCCTCTCCTTAGCTCATGCTCACGTGAAGAGGGCTGCACTTGTTTCCCACAGAAGGGAGAGATCCTTCTGGTTTCAGAAATTGGAATTCAATTTGCATAGAAATGCTGCTATAAAGTGTAACTCGGTTATTGGAATTGATTCTTTTGGTTCCGTGGCAGAGACTGTCAGAGCATGTGGGGACCTTAGCTATCACCCAGTTCAGCCCCTTCATCTGCAACTGCAGGGTCTGAAGTTTTCTACCGGCTGGTCAAACTCGAACGAAATCCCAGGTCTCCTCACTCCTGACTTGGTGCCCAGCTACACCTAACATAACGCCATTGATTTTATTCATCCTTCTTGGCAGGTCTAGGAATGTAACTAATGATTTATAATATCGTTTCTATGAAAAATGTATTCTAAATTCCAAACATCTAATCGTTTTTTTTTTTAATAATCTGTTTGAAATGTAGGCACTTTTTAATAGTTACTATTTTTCTTAATGTCTTAGTTCCTCTTTGAGACAGTTTTTGGAAGCCTTTTCCTAGTATTGCATCATTGCTTAAGCTCTAGACGTCAAATTTAGACATATTATTCTAGTAAAGGCCTGACCTGTGCTTAAGGTAAGGGAGGGATTGGTTTGTATATAAACCCACACAGATGTGTTTATATTTTCTTTGGTTGGCAGAGGAATAGAGAATAACAGCAGCAAAGATTGTGTTTACTCACCCTGCCACCTACTTATGTTTGGCTTATGGCCTGCTTTGACCTGCAGGTAATTATCTGCTGTTCATTCTTCTTTTTTTTTTAAACAGATTTATTTAGATATAATTCACACATACAATTCATCCATGCAGTGGTTTTTTGTATATACACAGAGTTGTGCAGCCATCACCACAATCAGTTGAGGATATCATCTTATTTTCATCACCTCAAAAAGAAACCCTATTTCCATTGGCAGTCACTCCCCATTTCCCCCAAGCTTTCCTCACCCCCTACCCCTCAGATCTAGGCAACCATTAATCTGCTTTCTGTTTCTGTAGATTTGCCTTTTGTGGATATTTCATATAAATGCAATTATATGATATATGGTCTTTTGTGAATGGCTTCTTTTTCACTTAGCATAATGTTTTTGAGGTTTATCCATGTTGTAACATTTATCAGTACTTCATTTCTCTTTTTGCCAAATAATATTCCATTGTAAGAATATATCATGTTTTTTAATCCATTCATCAGTTGATGGATATTTGCATTGTTTCCACTTTTTGGATATTATGAATAATATTGCTGTGAACACATGTGTACAAGTTTTTTTGTGGACACATGATTTCATTTCTCTTTTGTACATACCTAGGAGTGGAATTGCTGGTTATATGGTAACTCCATGTTAACATTTGGAGGAAATGCCAGACTTTTCCAAAGTAGCTTCACACTTTACATTCTCACCTACACTGTATGGGGGTTCCAGTTTCTCTACATCCTTATCAACAGCAGTTATTATCTGTCTTTTTGTTTATAGTCATCCTAGTGAGTGTGAAGTGGTATTTCGATGTGTTTTGCATTTCCCTAATGGCAAATGATATTAAACATCTTTCCTTGTACTCGCTGGCCATTTCTGTGTATGTGTATATGTGTGTGTGTGTACTTACTTATGTATAGACACACACAAATATTTTTTTAGGAATGTCGTCAAATTCTTTGCCCATTTTTCAGTTGAGTTGTCTCTTTAAATTTTGAGGTGTAAGAGTTATTTATATATTCTAGATTTGAGTCCCTCATCAGGCAAAAGATTTGTGAATATTTTCTCCCCTTCTGTGAGTTGTCCTTTCACTTTCTTCATGGGTCCTCTGAAACACAAGGTTTTAATTTTGATTAAGCTGCCATTCGTTCTTCTCATTCATTCCTTGAGCCCATGTTTTCTGAGCACTGCCCACGCTGGTCATGGTGCCAGGTGCTGGGAGTACAGCTCTGCTGTCTTGTGGGTGACCTCAAATTTGCCTTGTTGGGTTTGTCTTATTTACCACTAGGGTGCTGGGCAACTGGGTAAGATATTACTCCTAGTGTTACGCACAAGAGGGGTAAATATGCTGATCCAAGTCAGATGGAAATGTTTTAGGCCTAACTGATGATTATAAAGCATTCAATTAATGAGTTAAGCAACAGTTCAGCAAGCGTTTGGGGTTCTCAGGAGTTCTAGGGTTCACCTAGGCTATAATTTAGTGGAAACAAATGGCTTCTAGTCCTAAAGTTATAGGAATAAAATTACCAGCATTTTTACCCATAACATTATTGTATAAATTTTCACAGTTTCCTGCACTTCTACTTGTTAGAGGTTGAATGTATTTTGTTGTGAACTGAATTGTAAATTATATGATGTTGGTTACAGTATCATACTAGAATCTTTAATGACAAAGGTACGTTTAGTAAAACAGGTGTATAAACTGAACCTGTGGTGAAACACGACTGTTGAGATCGCTGTTTTTCCCTCAGGTAGACGATGCCTGCTGTCTGCAGCTTACGTGGACAGCCACAAGTGGGAGGCGAGAGAAAAAGAACACTGTCACCTCGGTAGGTACCTGTGGGGCTGTCATATGCGGCATTTCAGTCACTCCATGTGTTTATCATCACATATTCACATGATGTGTGAATAAAATGATGCTTTTATGAAGAGCCAATTCAGATAAGCACATTTTAAGTCTTAAGAAGAATTAGACTGTTGTTTCACACATGGCAAAATCATTTTTGCTATCCTGCAAATTTCTATTTCTTTTTGCCTTGACAATTAGTCTCCCTGAGTTATGTAAACAATTCTTTTCTTTCTTGTTTTTGTCCATTTTTATCATATAGTGAGTTACCATGCAGCCTGTTTTATATTATCTGCAGAGAAAAATGTATTTTATATTTTGATCCTTTTTTATTGTCATTTCTTAACTTGTGGTCTTCAGAGCTCTTTCTGAAGAGCTCTGGTTTCATCACCAGGTGACAGAGAGATTTGAAAGCAGTGTTATAGTCTCATAGACACCATTTGGGAAATAGTTGGACAGCATCTTCTGAGGCAGTAGGCTCCTAGCTACACTTCTTTCCCTGTTCTTATGTCACAGTACAGATGGCAGCCTTTCTCTTATGGAATAACCAGGCCTAAAAGAAATCACTGACCCTCTGAGCACCTTGTAGAAATGTACATACTTCCTACATGTAATAAATATCATATATAACATCATCAGGACGTTGATAAAGTCAGACCATTGATGATAGTTTTTTGGGACTGATGTAACTTTTTGATCAGTTCCAGTACTGATCTAATACTTTCCCCCAGATTTCTTTCTCTGCTTTTTCTGATTACGTTAAAGAATAAGGACCCTCCGTGTTTAGGGAGGTAGCAGTCTTTTGTCCTGTCTATAACAGCTACCTTGGGGGGGGGCGGTGAGGGCAGTTCACAGAACTCATTTTCTCCCCTGATAATGTGATTGCAAGGGCAGAGTTGGGTTGTGAGCTCTGGAGTGGGTGTCTGGGGGGGGCCAGCTAAAGCAGAGCTGCAGAGAATATGAAGATGAGGAACTATATGCTTGCATGAAGTGTGGAGTCACTGTGACCGACAGAGAGAAATGCAGATGGATACACATGTGGCGTACAGGCAAAGTCAAATACCAGGAGTGGCATTATCATAAGTGACACAGTTTTATTCACAAAATGGTGAACCACTCTTGGTAAGGTTCTGAACGAATCAAAGTGCTATCTTTCTTTAATTTATGTGGTTGTTGCATTTATGGAAAATTCAACTTGTTTTCTAATTATGCCCCAAAAGTGCTTTGCATTTGTTTATATGTAAAGTGGAGTTAGTTCTGTTAATTATAAACAGGTTTTTTTTTTAATGTGTGAATGACTGCCATGTCATAGATGGCATGGTATGTGGGGTAAATATTTTAACTTTTTATTTGGAAATAATTTTAAACTCACAAAAAATGGTAAGACTAATACAAAGAGCATCTGTGTACCCTTTGCCCAGATTCACCTATTGTCATCATTTGACCCATTTGTTTTTGCTTTCTCACTATCAGCACACATGTCTTTTTTAACCATCTGAGAGTTTGTTGCAGATATTATGGCCCTTTATCCTGAGTGCTTTGATGTACATTACCTGACATTTTTTAAGAAGCCAGTCCCTTTTTTTAATAGACTATTCTTGTCTGGGGTTTTGTCTGATATTTCCTCATGATTTGATTCAAGATATGCTTCCCTGGCCAGAATATTGTCCGTGATGTTGTGTCCTTCTTAGGGACATCTGGAGACAGCTGATGTCCACCTGCCCTGATGGGTGATGGTAACTTTGATCACCCAGTCAAGTGTGTCTGATGTCCCCACTGCAGAGTTACTGTTTCTTCTCCCCCGTGACTAATAGGCAATCTGTGGGGAGACACCTTAATAGCATGCAAATGTCCTGCTGCTTATCAAAACTTCCCTCTAGATTTCGCTTCATTTAGCTTCTTGCCTGAATCAGTCTTTACTGTGATGGTTGCAGAATGATGGAGTCCACCGCCATGAACACCTCCACATTGGCTAGTTAGTGCTCTGTACTGTACTGTAAGCAAGAGCTCTCCCTTCTCTCCCATTTCCTTCTTTCTCTTTTTCTCTCTTTATTATCAGTATGGTCTTGGGAATTGTGGGTTCCTCATTTTTTTTTCTTTTAATGATTCATTACCATCCTTAATTATTTGGGGGTCCAGTTATCCCAGATTGGGCTAGTTGATGCCCTTTCAACTCGGCCCCCCATGTTCCATCTTGCGCCTTTCCTGCTCTAGTCCTGGCCTCGGTTATTCCTCCAAGGAGCCCTGTTCCTTTTAGTGGGGAATGGTATTAGAAACCAAGATCTGTGCCCTGGGTGACCTCCTGCTACTATGGAGTTTTTGCTTCTTGGCCCATTCACTGGACAGAGCTAGAAAAATATGTATACATATACACATAAACATACATACACGCACATAGGTGCATATCAGCTTACATGTGCATATTCTACAAATAATCAGCTCATCCTGAAACCTCCAATTCCCGTTCATCCCCACAGGTCTCCCTCGCCTTCCTCGAGTCCACATTTGTATCTCCCTTCCACACTGAAAACTCCGCTCTCAGCAGGGACAGTGTTTTGATGTGTGGGACAGCCTGCATTGCAGCTTGTCTGAGTTTCCTGTGTTCTGCCCATTAAGTGCCAGTAATGCCCTGCAGTCATTGTGACGGTCAGAAAAAGACCCCTATATTCTAAAATGCCGGAACCACTGGTGTCGTGATGAAACCGGCACAGACTCAGTTAATTATATTGCAAAGCTTGTTCTGATGTGCCATGTGGATTATAAGAAAAGTACTATGGAAGTAGAG